GAACCACAATACTGACAAGTGATTAATAAAAGTCAAAAGACCAAAGAGGTCACCTTAATACCAAAAAAAAAAAAAAATAAGTATATAGCAGGCTTTAGGCAATTTATTTTAAGAATAAATTTATTCTAAAATTAAGACAAGAATTTAAGCTTAATATAATAAAGTTAACACAAAACAGATTCAAAGAGTTTAAATAAAATATTAAAACAAAAGTATTAGATATGACAATTAATAGCAAATATTAAATAAACTTTTTAAATAAATAATATATATAAAAAACTTATACAAGTAACCAATTATATACTCTTTTTGTAGTAGTTTTTTTATAAAATTATATTATCTAAAAATATGTTAATAAAGTTAAAAGACCTAAAAGGTTATCTTAATACAAAAAAAAATACTTTAACTTATACTAAAATGATAAAAATTATATATATATAATTTAAAAATTATTATATATCTTAAATTTAATATAATTTTTTAATTTATATTCTTTTTTATTTTTTATCATATTATATATTAGGCAGTTTATATAATTGTTGCATTTTTGGAGTGTGCCAATCTAGTGAAGTGATCAGGTTGTCAATCTTCAAATAGCAGATCTAGAGTTCAAATCTCATAGATAACGAATTTTGAAAAATAGATTTGTATTATAGTAACAGTCTTTGTCAATTAGTTGGATTAGTATATTTGTAACCTTTAGTTGCACCATCTCAAATAAGAGCTTAGGGCATCTATACTAAATGTAATATTACATCTACATAGAGAAATATTAATAATTGGTATTGTATAAGACTTTAGTACAAACTTACGATAAAACTACCAGATGCAGAAAGTAAAGAAACTAAAGAGTCAGAAACCTACTTGAAAATCCTGAGTAAGAAGATAGCACAAAACTTTTGATAATACTGTTGGACTAATGGAAGCCTATAAAATATTTCCAAAGGAATAGTCAGATAAACTGGATAGCAAGATGTATAAAGAAGCATATAATCAACCAGGCCACTAGAATTACTAGGAAAAAAGAATACTAAGGTATATCATACTAGATCATCTGGATTGGAAGTCTAGAGAGTTCTGTTAGTTTTAAGTAATGGTTAGTAAGGGACAATGAAGAGGATATCAAAAAGATGAGTACTAGGATTTAAAAGCAGTTTAATAATTAGTCCTGACTGCAAGTGATGGTTTAGACCAAAGTATGACCAGGTGAGCTATAAGTATAGAATACAGAACATACTAGTAGGTTTAGTACAAAATTAAACATGACTTAGTGACCATGGCATATCTTTACTGGTTTATTAAAGTCACTAATAGAGTATAGTAAATACAGGATTAGAGTGTTTAAATAGAGGATCTACAGGTGGGTTCTAGGTATAGCAACTAGTATAAAACCTTCAGGTGGACTATTTAAATTAGACAATGACTAAGTTGTATGAATTGCTAGTTGTACACTTTTTTTATAATTACTTTTGCATCTTTATATCAACAGATGCTGGCTAATTTATACTATCAGTAAAATTCTAAATTACATGTATTTACTTTAATATTAAAAAAAATAATAATTGTTGCATTTTTATTATATTATATTACACTATTTAATTATTTAAAAAAAAAATAAAAAAATAAAAATTTTTATTTTTAAGTAAAAAAAATACTAAAATAAATAAGAAAGACTTGCAAGTATAATATATAAAAAGCTAAACTAAAAAGAATGTTTTTAATTGTTTGTCTTGTTTTTAAGTTTTTTATAACTTTTAACTAGAGGTTTTCTTTATTGTTTTCAAAATATTTTTTTAATTTGGATATTAAACTTGTTAAAGAGTTATCTGAAGAAAAATTTTGATTTTAATACAAATTATTAAAAGAGTTATTTGCATTTCAGTTTTTTATATTCTTCTAGTTTGTTAGTAATAATTTATTTCATATATTAATACAAAATTAAAAGTATTATCTACTTAGAAACTTAACTCTTCAAACTGTTTTGGTACTAGTTTGGTTTAAGTAATTATTGAGAAGAGTTAATTATATTTAGTATTGTAATTAATAAATATTACATTTGATTAATTCAAATATAAAATTAATTAAATTATATAATATAATATAATATTAATATTTGGTTTATAATTAAAAAAATAATTTGAGATTACACAAAAAATATATAAAAAAACTTAACCAAATTTTAAAAACTAATTAATTTTTTTTTTTAATATTAAGATAAAACCTTGTTTATATTTTTATTAATAATTTTAACTATATATTTTAGTACAAAAATAAACTAAGATTGTATATAATCAAATAAAAATTACATGCAAGAATAAGAACTCAGACTAGTTTATTTGTAACCTAAACTGAAAAACTTATTAAATTTATATAATCTTAAATATAATGATAAAAATTTTTTTAAAATAATATAAAGAAATTAAAGTTGTTTTTTATTATAGTTCTGTCTATATTAAGCTTACAAATGTATTTTAAGTCTTGTTGTAATTGGAAAAGAATGTTTTATAAGTTTTTTTAGAACTATAAAATAGATTATAAAGATTATTTTTAAAAAATTATTAAACTGTTTTTACAGTATAGAACTAATTAAATAATTTTTTATTTAATTAATAAGTTTTTTAAAATTTTTTTTTTTCACCTCCCTTCGCTATCCTGAAGGTCCTTAGACACCTTTAGGATCTGTCGCATCTATTAAAGGCCAGAGTTATCATTCTGCGAAAATCATCGGATGACGTGTGGCCCCTGCATGTCACCGAACTCGTGAGATAACTCATGCTTCATCAAGTCCGCCATATGACGTCCCGGGTCCCTGGTTTTTAAAATTTTTAATTTCTCAATATTAAATTTTTTTTATTCTTACTCTATTTTTATTATCTATTCTTTTTTTTCTTATTTTCTCTATAAAAAGGTATTATCAAATTGACAATACCCTATTGTAGGGCAAAGGTCTAATAAGTGATCATTTACTGATATTTTATCGGATGGTCGGAATTTAATATACCACGTTTTTTAAATTAAGAATCGACTTTTGGAGTCACCTATATATAGTACAAAATAGATGTAGATCAATTAAAAAAAAAAAACATTGCGATGTTACATACCACAGATTGTTCGTCTTCTGAAATAACAAGCAAATATTTTCAAACCGATATTGATCATGACGTGAACTCGTGTCAAGTCAGTGATGTATCCGAAACTACAATAACTACAAAAACCAGTGTTAGTGAAAATTCAGAAAGTACTTTATCTAATAAACAAAATATATTGACTCTTGAGGAAAGACGTTTAAAGAAGAAACGGATGCTTGCGTTAACTCCTAAAAAAAAAATCATTGATACAAATTCATCATCCTTATCAAATTATTCAATACAAAATCAAATTAATAATAAGGTAGCACCAACAATTACTATTATTGATTCAAATAATGAAGAGAATACAACACAAAATGTCTCCGAACAAATTGACGTGAACAAAATTATGTCCAGTACCAAAAGCTTTGATTTTCAACTTATGATGTCGGATTCATTTAGTTCTGATAATTCATTTAGTTCAGATTATTCTTATGAAAGTAATAGTTTACAATCTATTAAGCAAACATCGGTTAATAAAGATAATTTTTCGCCATTCAGCAAAAAACCATCAACAAAGTCAAATTCAAATCGTAATGCTAGAGATGATCTTTCACAACCTTGCCTGTGTGTTATATGTGGTAAAGATCTTACAGGTTTTAATATTATTACTCGGGAAACACATTTAAATAGATGTCTTGACGATATTGAAAAACAAGAGAATGAAAAGCAACAAGGCATTAAGACAAATCAGCAAAAGCAAGTAAAAAAAACCATTTCACCTTCGAATGATAGAATGTTTATTGATAATGATTTCTCATGGTTCACTCTTATTACAAATTGCCCATGTTGTTTAAAAAATTTTCCGGGTAAAAGTAAAACAGCGAAAAGTAAAATCACTCATATAAAAAGATGTGGTAATAAGCAAAAATTTTCAGCAACAAAAATGCTTTCCTTATTGAAAGAGATGAAACAAAAATTATCTACTACATATGTACCTGTTATGGCAGAGAATTCTGCGATACGTGTTAAAGATACACAATTAACGGATTATTTTACTTCAATGCCAAAAAAGGAGACAGAAAAACCAACAGCGATTGTTTCACAATCATATGCAGTTTCAGCACTTGAAGGAATAGATCAGGATGATGATTTCAAAAGCAATGTTATTATTACATCGATTTCAACAATTGAGACAATCGGAAAAAGGAAATTCAGAGAAGACACCGATGATGACTTTAGGGTTGCAAAAGTTTTGTCAAAATCCATGATGCCTCAATATATAAATTCGAAAAAGAAAATTGTGTATGATCTTAATACTACACCGATTCTTGCACCAGCCGAAAGTATAAAGAAAGCGCAAAAGAGAGCCAAGAAAATGTTTTTCGACAGACCTACTATTCATGACATCGTTAAAGATTACCCATTCACATCCTCATCCTCATTTTGTACCAGCGGGATTGTGAAACAACGTGAATGTCATCAATTCATGAAATTAGATGATGAGAATGGAATTAGTATTTCTCGAAAGAAAACGACGTCTTTATGGGAAATACAAGCAATTGGCGGACCTGATAGTACATTATCGGGTGATGATTATATGACAGATATGTTAAAAGAATGGGTCTTCAAATATGAGGTGAGAATTTTATAAAAATGAATCAATTTAATCAATTTATTATTATTTATATAATTTATTATTGCATACCTAATATACATTCTATTTGTAGTCACATAAATTGGATCAATATTATTTACAACCTTTTAGAAAGCGATATGAAATGTGTGATCGTTGTGTGAACAAATATTGGGGAAGATTAGAACCCGAAAATGAAGAAAGAGATGAAATGATTGAAAGGAGTTACTATTTTTGCCGTTAAGTTTTTCATCCTTTATATGTTTCTTATATGGTTATATGGACTTGGCCATGTACAATTATAATCTAAAAAAAAGTTTAGACACTCACTTTAAAAGTGAAATAATGTATAAGTTGATAATATTGAAGAAATTTAAAACATTTAAATCATGCAGGAATTTTAACATGGTAAGTATTATTATATTATTAGTATCGTTCCTATGCCTTATGAGTAATGTCGTTTTCATTCACAATGTAAACATCTAATATTCTATGACATAGCTGATAAATAATTCGGATATGGATATTCTATGGTATAGGTGATAAATAATTCGGATATGGAACCATACATCGTATGGATATTTGTTAGAAATCTTACGGGAAATAAGACGCAAGGTGATAAAATAAAATAAATGAATCATTCTCAATACCATTTAAAAATTTTGATTTAATTTGAACATGCATTATATAGAAAATGAAATTGACATTTACAGAAATTACCGTAAATCACTGTATACAAGAGCCCTATGATAGTAGATAGTATTCGAACCACAGGATCTATATTAGTCTATTCATAGTTTTTTTTTCAAATGATTAGACTTCCCGTTATATAAGTACAAAATATGCATACTCCTCAAATTTTCTCTTAATGACATAAACTCTCAGGTGTTACTAAGGCTGGAGTTTATTAAAGGTCTTAAAAATTGATAGAATATAAGAGACTCGGGTCTTGTATACGATGATCTACGGTAATATAGTCCCTCTTTTTAAATGCATGATATTTGAATACAGATTTTTTAAAATCTAAAATAGTTTAGTTTTATATATTGCACCTGGATTTATACATGTGTTTTTTTATAAGCACAATTCTTTTGTATAAACAGTAAATTCTTTATTAAATTTGTAAAAAAAATCTTTATATTAACATTAAATATAAAGTAACAAGTTTTATTTATTTTATCTTGAATTATGAAAGATAACGCGAATGACTTGGATTATAAAGTAGAGTCGATAATAAAATGAAAATTGCTTATATAGTGAATCAAGAATTCATATGTTTAATGTTGAAAACATAATGCCTCACGCGTGTATATAGATTTGTTGGTTCAAATATGAACAGCCAATGAAATTTAAGGATCTCATCATGTTTATTAATAAAAAATTTTTTTTTTCGTGACGTGTTTTTAATGATTTAAATTGTTTAAACTGATCTGACTTTTCGTTTCACTTTCTCTTATGCATTCTTAGTTTTTATATTTTTTCGTAAAGTTCACTTTCACATTTTTATTTAAAAAATATTAATAAACTAAAAATAATAGTAGCTTGAATGTGCCAATTATTATGGCGCAGGTTCCTAATCTGCAAATCTGATTTCAAGATTACAATATAACATAACACGATCAGTTCAAAATAAATACTCGTTTTGTTAAAAATTGACCTATTTCTCGAAAATCTTTATAAAAAATCACATTTATTCATAAGTATCTCTGAAACAACAATGAAACGACGATGAGACGACAACGAAACAACGACAAAATGATAACTACTATATTTAAAAAGAAAAGTCTTACTAAGCCGCAACAGTTTCTACCGCATCTCTAATGAAAACATAAGATGTTACCGCTTATTAGATCTCTGATTTCACATAAGAATTCTTGGTCTTATACGTGAATGTAGTATTAGCATTGGCATATGTCCAAAAATTTTAAGAATCGTTGGCATATCTTATATTCTAATCTTTTTTAAAGTTAGTAAACATATGTTTAATGCTAACTCTATATGCTATCTAATTATTGTGGAGGTATAAGTTTCTCGGAAGTGTTTGGCGGAAGCAGTATTAGGCTTAGTGATGTGCCACGTACGTATACAATATTGGGCAGTAGATGAAAAATAACAGTAAGTTTTTTTCATCAAGTTAACGTTACTCCATATGCTGCTATGTAGCACATGAGTGAATTTAACTATCATGAAAAAAAGTTTCTGTTATGTATCGTATATGATGTTATCCGGCGTTTTATATGACCATGTAAAGTTTTTTCCATACCATTTTGCACGAAGGATTACATAAAAATATCATGACAAAAAAATTTACATTATCATATAAAAAGTCGGATAATTTTTTGCCGATCCTTTATACCAGCCAATCAAATCGCTAGATACGCGCTGTTCGGGTATCATATAAATGGCACATCACCAATTAGGCCACGACAATATTTTTAACTTTTATTAAATTAAATTTTTTTTTCTTTTTAGTATATAATAGGTTATCGTCGAATAATAATTTACCCACTGTATATATGTACCCAACTATAACTACAGTGATGGCTTAATGAAAAGAATGCTGACAAGTAAAATTAAAGATTATGATTAAGAACTTACAAGGTATCCATACATTCTCCAACGTACTGGGTATCTTTGTCATATATTTCTGCCTCTATTTTAAGCAAGAAACAAATCCCTTCAATCCCTCGAGCCCTCTTTTCCTCACTGAGTTTTTTGATACTGAAAATGCTACATTGAAGCGTCTCCAGAAGTGTTTTAGCAAATAACTCAAATGAGATTCTTTATTTATAATTTCAATAGCCGTTTGTTGGAGATTTTTGAACTTTAAGAATTTTTTTAAAAATTTTGTGAATTTTATAATTTATTAATAAAATCGAATTAGAATACATGTAATATATTTGTTTCGTATTACAAAAATTGTTTTTTTTTATGTGCTACAACGTTAATATTCAAAAGTTTTAAGTTTCGTTGATAATACGTATAACAATGTTGATTCAAGAAAATAACAATACGTACAAATAGTAAAATCTCTTATTAATCGAATTATATAATCGTTTGTCACATGAATATTTAATAATATTAACGCTAAAATCAAATACAGTGAAAATGTTTATTTAATTATTCTAAATATATACTATTTATGGAGATGGCTAAAGCGTTGTACGTAGCAGTAGTCTTATTATTAATCGTATGATAAATTAAAGATCAAGTGACTATTACAAGGCTTTAGCACATCTCTGTTTAAGTATAGAATACAAATTTTTTATTTTTTTATAATCTAATCTAACTTAACTTATACTATCAGATAGGGTAATGTGAATTTCATCAATTTAATTATATGGGGAAGTATCATGTCGATATGTGAGTATATTAATATTTTAACGCTAACGTCAAACAATATTTAAAATCTATTTAGAAATGATCAACAGTAAAAATTCCGTGGAGAAGTCGCGGCAAGAAACACGCGATGAAAAAACGAGAGAAAAAAAACGAAATGAAAGAAAGTGATGTATATAAAAAAGTTGATCAGTTCAAAGATGCAATCGTTACCATTATATATTAAAATACAATTAAGAATAAATATGAATTTAAAATGCCAAAAAAGAAAAAAAAAAAAAGGAAAGTGTACGGAAGAATTAAATCAGCCCAAGCAGATACATTTAATTATTTCCCAAGACGTTTCCTTAAAGCACGCAGACGCTTTCTCAATTTTTTGTGTTTATGTTTGTTCATTTTCAATCTTCTTTTTTGCACAATGTTCGTAAGATATAATTTATGCTTTCGCCTTTTCATTTCTTTATCTTCAATGAATTGTTCTTGTGATCTATCTAAGGTGTTGTTATTTGATATCATTTGTTCATCTTTTTCGACCTTTGATTTTTGATCTGTAAGAAATCTATTAACTATCATCAGTGATTCGGTGGGTGTAATGGATATTGCTGGTTGTGTAGGATGGAATGGGGATGATGTTAAATAAGGAGATAACGGATTTGAGAGTGACATTGGATTAGGAGCGTTTGAAGTGTCTTCCTCATATTCTAATAAAAAATTAACGTAATAAAGGATTTAATATTTAGTATTTAAAAACTATATAAACTATATATAAACTACTATATATAAACTATAGCTGATTCAACTAAATGTTTCCAGGTCTGATCAACTGACAGAAGAAACTGCTTAAAGATTGTAGTAAACCAAACGGGAACTTTTCTTTAATAAAGCATATACAAATCGTTACCTTCTTCCTCGTGCTGTTGTTGGACATTGTCCATCGCTGGTTGTTCACTTCCAAAAGTCAGTAAAGGTCTATGTAAGGCAAAAAAGGTACTCTGGGCAAGATCTCGAGGATGAATATGATTCACATGTACAAAAGGTAATTCTTGTTTTGGAGGGGTTGCGGAAATGGCGGCTCGTTTCGTATTATTTGAAGAGTACAGTCTTGTCGCAGAGACAACGTATTTAACAAAGTTGTTGAGGTTATAGTTGGTTAGAACCCGTTGGCGAAACAAGGACATTGCTGATTCCATGTTTCAAAGTTGTATGAATCGCACGTAAATTTTGTATTAATAATATATTACTTGTTAAAAGAAACGAAGCCGGAAAAAATCAATGAAGTAATTTGAGACGTAAGTAACGAGGCGTATAATAAATTCCCTATTTAATTCAGTAAAATTTACCCTATACCTAATTTAAATGTCATGTGATTTATTACTAGGAAAATTTCATTAAAGCACCATGAAATCATATGTCGCTTTGTATGTACTAGCTCCGGTACTCATTGTATGTATGTGTATATAAACGTAAATAAATAAATATATATATATCGGATATATTTACTGTATACTGTATTGTTATTTATTTATAATCTGCTATTTTTTACGACTTGCATTTCAATCAATTTACTGTAACGATAAACGCACCGTACATACACAATACTAACGAAAAGGTTATGAAAGCAAGAATAAGAACGTACGTACGAGATGCCCATTTACTGTATTTACTCTATTAGGGTATTAGGAACAAACCTTTATAATTGTAATCTAATTAATCTAATTCCAAATAGCCCAATGAATCCGGTTTTTAAGAAGTATATAACGTTTATATATATTGTTTAACATATGACAGTGTATAACGTTAGGTTCGCTCCAATGAATTTATTTTTCTATGTAGTAGAATTTGTTATTGGGAATCATCAGAATATTGAAGAAATCTGTAAGTTCTGTATTCCAGTTACCAATTGGT